AGCACTCACCTAGCAGTGCAAGGAGAATATGCTCTCTTGTTTATATATCAAGCTATTGTTCCTTCCTGGCTTACAAAATTGATTTTGTGTGAGTGTGGCCATCAATCATGATACACTTCACTATTTTTAGCGCGTTTTCACCCCACAAAAGTCGGTTTATTGCAAATCCAAACACCTTAGTACTTTCATGACCACATCAGATGTTGTCAGACAACTCTCATAAACTGTCAATGTCCAGCTCTTACTACACTGACCTCACGCTCTCCCTCGAAGACTTTCAGAAACACTTTATATTAACCAACGCGAAAGCCAGAACACAGATTTGTGACTCAAGAATCCTTTTTTCTTACGCCAACATGTAACCAACAATAGGGTTATTACACAAGGTCTAAGAGTAAATGTTATAACAAGAAATCACGATAATACTTCTGATAGTTTTTTATCTTCCCCTGAACAGCGAAAGATGAAACGATGACTGCAGTATTGGTGACTCCCCAAAAATATGAGGAGTTGGGTTTGAGCGAACAACCATGAATTGATCGTTCAGTCTTCAACTACATTGACAGATGTGGTCGTGTCTGGGAAACCCACTAGTTAACGATTTAATCTCTTACTGGTTATTACGACGCAACATGTTATTACCGTCAGAGCAAGCAATGAAATTCCACTGCCTCTACCAGTAACTTGAACCGAAAAATCACATCAACACGCGCGAAAATGTCAGACTCTACTTCTGAAAGAATACACATCTAAGTGATGTTCAAGTGAGAAGTGGGCCGATGTCAGTGAATATATTTACTTTGTAGTTAGATAAACAATTGGAGTGCGTTTGGAATAGCGCCATCATTACGGGTGACTATTACAAGTCGTTAAACAGCTTTATTATACTACGCAGGTAGGTTACTTGTTTTCAAGGAACCCCTAAATTTGTGAACTGATCCATGAATTTTAGTTCATAATTTGTTTTGTGGGATAATTGGTATCTTGAAAAACTCAGCTGTCAACGAGAAGAAAAGCAACGCACTGGCAGGGTAGTTTCTGTATAAAAGAAAACACGCTTCACAAGACTCCTGTTCGAAGGTGAAGTAATCATACAATTGGCATCTCAGAGGCCTAGACCAACTGCACCGCACTCTATCCTGTAAACCCTAAAAAAATTTCCTCCCTTGTGCCCATGGATAATCGAAGAATTTCCACTGAGTGCAGTTAAAATCAACCAACGGTTTCGGAGACGTATTCAAGTAGAACTAAAAGCATGATTCACTGTTATCGAAAACAACCAACCCCCAAAGCGTTAATGAAACCCACTAAAAATCTAAGTGCAAACAGTCTGAACAAGAATAAGGCACCATGCATCTATTATTGTGTTATTATTTTCGTTCCCTTTGTTTCCGAGTGCAACACGTCTCTCTCTCTCTTTGTTCACTTGAGATGTATTACGTCTTAAAAATCCTCTTCTGCTCAAGAGTCAGTTTTAACCCAAGTACTTATTCTGAGGAAAGTTGTGGCCGGCTACAATTAAGACATCTTATGGGCGACTTGTATACGCAAATTGCCTAGAATACGTCCTTTAGCAATAATACTAGGTGAAACAAAATACACTGAAAGCATGTCCTAAAACCTGATTTTAAATCTCAGATATAAAAAGCACTTTCTCGTTTGTAACGTTTGTTCATGCAGACCATTTATGAAAGGAGAGAAAAATGGAATGATTATTTTCTTGTCCAGCCTCCTCTTCCTTCCTAAAACGGATGCATACGTTTCCTTGAACATCAACTTCAGAGAGCTCCAGTGTTATTTCACACAGGTTCTCTCACTGGTGCCACGTGGTGTCTCCGAATTTGTTCTGATAGCTGCAGTGAAGTTGTCTTTGGCAGTCCCATCTTTCAGTCCCCCAGTGTAGAACTTGAACTGTGGTCTATCTCCAGTTGCTCTGAAGGATTTCAACTTCACTCTGAGGGTCTCTTGAGCTAGATGATGGTCCGAGCCCACATCTGATGCCCTTCTCGATACTGTCTCTTGTAGGCTGTGTCTGAATTTCTTTGAGATTGAGGTCAAGTCTTTCTGGTTTGTGGTGAGTACGCCAGGCGAAATCCTTGTCGCCTTGTGCATACCCTTGTACATGCTCGTGCTACCTTTAGTCACCAAGTCGTTGGAGGAGCAGACACCTGCAAAGAGTTCTGCGTTATTATTCATTCAAACGAGAGCCTCGCACCACGTGATGAATTCCTTCCTCGCATTGTCTGCTCCCAGTTTGGCATTTAAATGGCCCATTGTGTTCTTGTCCATTACTGTCTGCAGTTGTCTAATGAGATCTTCCTTCTTCTCTTGTTTTGAGGTGTTTGTAGGTGCATAGCATTCGATACTCATAACCTTCATTTCTTTCGAGTTGAACCGTGCTGTCACAGTCCCCGAGGAGATTGCTTCCCATTTCACTAGAATGTTTGCTTCTACTGGTGACACGATGATAGCCATTCCCTCAGTGTGCTCGTTGTTATCGTCCTGGTGACTGGAGTAGATTACTGACTCTCCAGTTGACAATTTCAATATTCCACTTATTACTATTGCTGTCCCCTAGTGGAAAATAGGGGTTCAACTGCACGTCTCCACTTGCTTCTGTCTTCCTTCTGCTGTACTTTTCACCTGCATCCATCTCAGTCCACACTGTTTCAACTCCTCTTCACATGATCTCCTCCATGTCACCCTTGCACTGACGACCCACTCGCCACTTCCCTTACGGGTTCCACTCGAGCGATTCCGTGACGCGAGCGCGATGTCAGTCAGTGGCCTCCTCAGCGAGTGAGTGTCCAATCCATCTCCACTTTCTCCTGCATATTTGTTGGCTGGCGATTGGTTCTCGTTTTGTTTGCTCCCAGCCATAGTTTCTTGTTGGTGATTCTTTCCGACCCGGCCATCTGATCTTCAGTATAGATCCAGCGAAGACAGTTGTTGATGGAGGTCTGCAACAGGCTGTCGGAAATATTCTTTGTGACCCGCCCGCCAAGTTTCTCATCCGTATAGAAGAACTGACTGACTTGACACGGTTTGTATTGAAAATCCGACTGAATTTTGTTGCTGATGCTGAGTGACGAAGATTTCCAAATTGGTTTCAGGTTGATGAATGTGTTTCTCGCCTTCCCGATTCTCGCTCGCTTTGACATCCTCGTCCATTCCAACTGTCTGTAGTTGAGACAATGCTCCCTAGATAAGTGAATGAATGAAGTAAACTCTTTCAAATCCCTCCCGTTGATGGTGATTGGCACTGGATGTTGCTCCTGATGCTGTTGTTGTTATTGTTGTTGGTTGGTTATTTTCATAACCTCCGTCTTGTCTATGTTCACTTGGAGTCCTGTCTTCACCGGCTGCTTCTTCGACCAGTTTGTCGGTCGGTTTTCGCTTGTAAGTCTTCGATTTTGTGTGACATCAAACATAAATCATCCACGCGCGAAATCCAGGTCTTCCAGGTTCTTCACGTCGGTCCAGGATATTTCTGTCTTCTCATTTCCCACTGTCTAACGCATAATCCAGTCAGTCCACCACAATTAGGAATATCATTGGTGATAGATAATAAGCACCCTTGTCTCACTCCTGTGTTTACTCCAAACGCCTCGCTGAGTTTTCCGTTATGGATGACTTGACATGTTTCGTTGTCGTACAGCTGTTGAATAAGGTTGATGAATATTTGGGGTACGCCTTAGTACTCGAGTAGTTTTCAAATTACTTGCGTTCCATCTATTGTAGCAGATTCCTAGAACTTCTACACCATGTCTTCTCATATCTTTGCTTACTTGGGCAGCCATTTCGACGTCTGACTTTGTGTATACTCTCCGCATGCTCGTTCTCATTGTTGCTTCCTTGGATTGAAGACACAGCAAATCACTGGCTTACAAAAGACCTTTACCATCCGGCGTATTTTTGTTTTCCTGATTCCAGCGAAAACCGATTTTGTCGCCTGTATCTTTGGGAGGAATCGTAGGCTGGTATATATACCACTCCTTTTGATGTAATAATGAAGACATCGATGTTATTTTATGTATTTATTTTATTTTTGATTACAGCTTGATTCGACACTGTATTTTTGGTACAAGTGTGGAATTTTGAGCGTGGATATCGGTAGCCCAAAATTCGCAGGCCGACCATAGATATCAGGTGTACGTCGGCGTGGGCTCGAACCCCGGATCATGTGCATGGTCGGCGAGAGTCCTAATCACTGTGCCACCGACGCACATTTTTCATTGAAGTTTGTTTAAGAATTTCTATTGGTTGTGCGTTGTGGTGTCGCTAGAGCCACGCCAAACTGCTTTTCTTCATCCGTGCTTGGGACCAGCTAGAAAACCATGGGTTATTATACAACCCTGAGTTGATTAGCGTCTACTTCAGCCAAAGAAACTACGTTTATTTTTGTCGCAGAAACGTAGGAAGATATAGTGTTTGAATACCTCCCTGTTCAGTGAAAATAAGCTTCGGAACATGTAAGATGCTAAAGTTAAATAAATTGGTTATGAAGCATTTCAAATGGATACAGTGTTCCAACATTAGTAGATGACAGACTTACTAGTTCGGCGATATTTGGATGGCTTGTTTGTTGAATAGTGTAATAACCCTCAACCTGGTTGTACTTATACAGTACAAGTGCGAAAAAACATTTTCAAGTGCTAATTGAAAATATTTTTAGCGTAGCAGACTAAAAATATGAGCGAATATCATCACCCAGTGATAAATTTCAATAATTTTAGACACATTTGTTACTGTTTAATTCTCTACTTGTAATAGCCTACGAAAACCTTGAGTAGCAGTCCAGTCCACGCATTTATTTCCACTTTTTCTTAGCAGCAACGTGACGTTAAACGTAGGCAGTAACAATAACTACAATTTTCCTTTGTTTTAACTTGATAGGCGTTTTTGCGCGCCCATGTAAACTAGGTCGGACGTCCTTGGTCCTATGACAGGATTGTGATTTTATTCTTTTTTTTTTTTACGTTTTTATACCTTTATTATTGATGGAGTATGACCCGGCCTCGCCAACGGAGTAAGTTGAAGGTTTTTATTAAATCTTATTGTGTCCCAGCGAATTAGATGAATGTCCGTCGTCACTTGAACTGTCAACAATCCCATTACCAAGTATGTGATTTTGTAGTTTGGAATCTAATTTATTTTTTTTAAGGACCCAATAACGTGGCTGTATCAAAGGATGACAGCGATGTCTGTAATATCCCATTACCTCCCGCCTCCAAGGTAGCATTACTAAACGTCCCTTTACTTCATCCTAATCAGAATGTCAATACAGAAATATCAACTCATACTGGTTTACCCTCAACAGCACCGAAATTCGAATCAGTAGAAACACAAGGACCATTGAAATTCACCATGCGAGTGTCTGCTAAATCCCTTTCTGGTTCAGAAGTGCCTGCTGAATCTCCAGGCATTTTCGAATCATCCAAAGATGTGAAAACTGAAGAGCCGAAAGCTTTGCCTAAACTTCAAGCAATGATGAAAAGATCGAAACCGTTTCAACTCCCTGTTGGTGTTTTACCCCCTAAAAATAAACTTCCGGTTACTGAAGTGAAAACTGACTTGTTCCTACCAACTAAGGAGAATGAAACATTGGGTGCGGCTTCAGATAACTCGAAAATTGTCCAGCAACCGGTTCATGCCACAAATGAATCCTTTGATAATCAGCCTGCGAGTTCAGTAGGCATTAGCGGACAATTAGCTGCTACATGTGCAGTGGACAAGTCGTTAATACCGACAAATAATGTTGGAATTAAAGCTACGCTTCCTACTGCGAATATGCTTGCGAAGACCCCTCCTATTCCGAACCTTATGAGCCTTAATATTCAACCAATTCACCACCCCGTCCCGATAGTTGCGACCCGTAATCTGATTCATGCGCATGCGACCGACCCTACTCTTGTTCAGGCGTCGATACCCCCTACTGCAGGAATGCAGTTTGTTAATCCTCAGAAATTTCGGTCCGCGCAAATGATTGCTACTCCATTGATAGCTAATCCGGCTGTAGCAAATCAGTCACAGCAAAGCGATGAGACACCGAAAGGGAAAAATGGACGCCGGCGATTAAGTTCGCATTCACGTAAGCACTCTAGGTCTCACAGGAGGTCTCGTTCTAGGAGGTCTAGTGAACATCGTCGTCTACGGCGTCGCCGTTCGTCTAATTCATCAAAGTCAGTCCATCGCTCCAGTCGTACTAGACATAGGTCGCGGTCCCATCAGAATTCCAGAGAGCGTCGCCGTTCGTCTACAGAGCGTAGTCATTCGAGATCTTCAGGAAAGCGTGATAGCGGACAGAAAAGGTCAGTTATTGTTGAGAAAATGACAAAACGAGAACTGAGCAAAAAGAAAGTTATTAGGTCTCGCCCAGAAGTGAATCATAAAGAATCCCATAGCACAGAAGTGAAACGCTCCCGACATCACTCAAATTCTCCTGACAGGAAAAAGAGAGAGTTTGAAAAAGATGGTCATCTACCTAGTGTCAAGAAAGTTAAAAGCTGTTCCAAAGATAACCAGACTAATGATCGAAGGTTGACGGTGAAGGAGAATTCTGACATAAAACGGGAGGAAGTTGATGGAGTGCAATACGTTCAGATGCAAAAGTTGACTTCAAGAGTGAGTGGAACACTTGCAGATGTCTATCGCAAAACTCAACCGAAACTGGGTTATAGACGACCGTCAGAACAAAGTGATAGCGATGGTGATTCCATTGGTTCTAGTTCATCTGACAGTGAGAATCAGTCACCTGTTTCCAGGAAAAATAAACCTACTAAACAAGAACTCCCCAGTGATGAAAGCTCATCTGAGTCTGGTTCTAGTCCAGATGAGAGCAGACACTCTACCTGTGAACCTAAACATCGTTCTAAGGAAGATATAAAACAAGAACTTAGAGAATGTAATATCAAACCGCAGAAACAGACGTCGCACTCTCTTCATTCTTCCAAAAGTGTGAATATAGGTAAGGCATAGTTGCTTCGCTGGCGTTTTTGGAACATTCTTCTTATGAGATTGTCATGTTTTTTCTTAAAACCCTTTATTAAGTGAACTGTTGTCCATACAATTCATTCTGTATCTGCGCCCTTGAGGTTTCATGTCAGATCACCTTTTTATCTTCCTTGAGTGTTGATTTAATTACATCCAAACCTACGTGTACACTTTCCGCTTAGGTCCAATAACATCAGTCTGCAAAGCGCTGAGTGTATCTTTCAGCTGTATTTTAAAACCTGTACATTTTGGCAATAAAATTTCTTTATCAGCTGTGGTTTTCTAAGTAATGTCAGTGAGGTTGTTTATAAATGAGCTACATTTTCATGGGTGTATTGCGTTAAGATTCATTGCATGGTCAGTATTTTGACAGGTATGGTCTGTCGGTTTTTAAATTTTGTAACATCTACAGTTCGGCTTGCTGCCTTGAGCTTAAAGATGAGAAAAAGTAATTCGCTCAGTTACTATTGCGAGGTTTGGAAGGCTCATAGGGTTTGAGTTGATGTAGGTCCATGGATAAGATTATTTCAAAGGGTTTTCCTTACAGATTACATTCGAACGTCTGGAAATTACCTTTTGTTTTGCAGATGAAATACCATTACAACCAGCTAACAATACACCCAACTATTTGGAGGTTCAGTCGGTGGATAGCGATTGCATGGAGTTGGAATCGGATGCGGATTTGGATACGAGCTATTTAGATAATCCTACAGATGGTAATGCTGAGAACTGTCCAGTGAATGAGTTAATCGACACAGTCAATGGTTTCCTTGAGTCTCTCGCTTCAGTTCGTGACTCATTTTCGCAGACTTCAAGTGAATCTGGTTCTATCAACAAGATGTCTTTCCAGCCTCTGGAAGAGCAGGATCAAAAATTATGTGAAGGGGCTGACAGTGGCCAGTTACAATATAGTAGAGATCTGTCTATTTTAGACATTCAGTGTTCTGAAAATGTAGTTGAATGCATAAAACCTGCATCACTAACAGTTGTCAGTGTGCAAAGCACTGAACCCTGTGAATCGAAATATGATCTACGGAAAAGGAAGATTAAGTCCCATGTCTCAACTAATTCTTTCCTACCGAACACTCCCAATCAGTATGAAAGGTTATCTGAGTAAGTCTACTTAATTGCAACTTAAAGATGCTCATTTTGATTATTTTGGCAACAAAAAGATTTCTTAGTAAATCCGGTCTTGTTCGCTTAGTTTTTGCCTGTGGAGAGATTTACATTTGTATGGGTAAATGTGTTCCCTTGCGCATAAGGGATATTAAAGGATGTTTTGACTATCCCTCAAAATGTCTTCAACACTTCATGAAAAAGGTTGTCCAATGAACATTAGCTAACGTGACTGTCACTTACTGTTAGCCACGTAAGACTCGTGCAGTCGAAGTTTGGGAAGCTAGTAGGATTTGAGTTGTTTGACGACTGGAATTTGTCTAATACAACAGATCAAAACGAATGAAGTGTGACTTGATGTACTCAGTAGTAATCACCGGAAGTTGATTGGCCAACGGTTAAATTGCTGGCTTGAAAGACGGTGAATAGTCTGAGACTGATAAGTGCAGCATTTCCTATGTTGTGCATACATTAGTTAGTTTTACTGTTTGTTCCATGCATAGCGTTGAACTCGTTTAGTTTGTTTGACAGTAACGTGATATGCAGTAATTTAATTGGAATATCTTTTCTTCACCAGCTGACGTTTTTCCTCATGACCACTTCAGTACTGCAGCTAGGTAGTTTTGGCTGTCGTAAAGATGTGCCCACCAAATCCAGAAAATAGTTGAAGTTTTTTGTGGGTTTTCGGATACAAATCCACCCACTCTTACTTACGAAGCTTACAGAATTTCCAAAATGGCATTTCGTTGTTTATTTTCTCCGCAGTTACACTGCAAGCACTACTCGGCTCTACTTCCTGACGTCTGAGTGTTTGAAAATGTAAAATACATCTCACTCTCTAACATTCACATGCGACTGGCTAATGGATCAGTGCCCGACCCTTTAATTATTTACTGGTATTATGGTTGGGTTCAAATAGTTGGATACAATAACTGTGGTAACCTCGTAGTGCTTATTGATATTTTCGTTGTGATATTATTTCCAAACTATGTAGCTAACACGATTAGGCGTTCTGTAATTTAGATCTTTGGAGCAACTTGATTAAAAAAGGGGCGTAAAAATCGGTGTGTTAGGAATTGTATGGGGCTTTTGGCCTCTGATTTGTAATTAAAATGTATTCTTACTCTTAATGATCCATCTTTTGTTTCTGCCCTACAGCTGTAGTAACCTGAGCAGTATTTTCGCAGATTATCCTGAGGCACCTACTCCACAATACACTCATCTTTTAGACAATGACTACAGTCTTTTGAACTCGGTTCATTTATCTGCATATAGTAAGCCAACTTATCCAGGTAGTGGTAAACTTCTTGGGACGTCTGGACTGCGCGCCAGCTCACTACATTATGAAATGAGGCAGTGGGTTTGTGACTGCAGCGCTCCTACTTCTGAAGAACTTGAACTAGGTATACTTGCGTGCGGTCCAGGCTGCATTAACCGAGCTTTAAACATCGAATGCGGTCCTCATTGCGCAGCTGGTGACTTTTGCAGTAATCGTCAGTTCCAAATGCGACTTTATGCGCCAACCAAACCTTTCTATGCTGGTAAAGATAAAGGCTGGGGGCTCATGACCACAGATAACATTGAAAGGTAAGTTCTCATAATAAACTGGTTAATTGGGATATTTCGTTTTAGAGGGTCATTTATTATTGAATACGTGGGGGAAGTGATCGATTTTTCTGAGTTTCGCCGTCGTATTCGGCGATATGAACGTCTAGGACATGCTCATCATTATTTCATGGCTTTGGAATCAGACAGATTTATTGACGCTGGTAGTAAAGGGAACTGGGCAAGATTTGTAAATCACTCCTGTGAACCAAACTGTGTTACACAAAAGGTAAATAACTACTCTCATGAGTAAATTAAATTTTTTTTAAAGTTGCCAGGTGAATTCTAGCAGCCATTAGGACTCAAAACGGAATTAAATCTTTAAAGATGGACTTGAAACCCTACAGAAATGCCTGCATTCTGTTAGTGTAGGCTTAACGGTAGGGATAAATGTTATAGTGAACCGGACTTCGAATAATTCTGGAACTATGTAATTTTGCATTCCAGCCATCGACTTGCATAATTTCTAAGATTTCAATCGAAAAACCGGTAATATGAGTCATCAATTCGTAATTTGTTTAGATGTACATCTAATTCATTTATGTAATACGTCATCTTGGTCTCAGCTAGATTTTTCTGAAACCATGTACTCAACAAAATGTCAAAATCACGAGTTAATCATTCGAGAACATATTCACCTTAGCGCAAGTAACATGAGCTGTGTATTCATTATTTACAACTTCATATTTCACTTTACATACAGAGTATCTGGTGAAATCCGGTTAATCAACTATTCTATAATTTCAGTTTTTATATACAGTTAAAAAGACTTACTATAAACACGAGGGATATCGATGTCCCAAATGGTGGAATCTGTCTACGTATGTACCTCGTAGTATTCCCAAAGAGTTCGTAACAATAATCCATTTCATTCTCAGTTATTTTTATTAATTAATAATTTCCGAACAAATATTGTGTAAGGCTCAGAGGGGCACGTGCAACACCAAATATGGTCACTCTCGCATCAAATAGTATCACATAAGTCAAAGAAAGGTTGTACATGCTATTTGGACAATTCTAAATGTATTAGTTTAGTAAATTATGGTTCTTACTACTACTACATATTTCAAATTACGGAATTACATTTCGTTTAATATACACTTTACAGTGGAGTGTCGATGGGGAAATCCGTATTGGCTTTTTTGCTAAAGAAGATATACCGGTCGGTCAAGAAGTAACTATAGATTATCAGTTTGTTCAGTATGGGTATGTTTTGTGTATCTATTACTCTTCCTTAGTTTTTACTTCCAGGTTTTAATGCATCCTTGTTTTTTCGGAATAAGCACTTAGATCTTCACATTCAGAAGTCAGATGTACACTAACGCTTAGTGAGACATCATGGATTCAGTTCCCCATCGGTTGTTAGACTTCTGACCCCACCCTGTTCCTCAAGGTTTTCGGCAGCTTCTTGGTATTATTTGTCATTACACAACTGGTTGACTGAGTGGCACTATATTTAACTGGAGTTGTTGTTGGGCAGCTTTTCACTTCGTTATGTGAGGCTTTACATTCTGACTTGCATTGTAATTATAGTTTAATAAAGGACCCCGATAATTGCTTTGCGTTAAAAATATAGTATGGATAAATATTTTCTAAAGTGAGTGTTGTAGTAGGTCTGAATGGTCCGTTGCTGCTAGTGTTATAAGTAACTAATTAGGGTTTCGCCCACTGATTCATCCAAAGAATTATGCGGAATGAAAAATCCGCTGGAAATACATTAAACATTATATTGCTGAAAAAACATTGAGGACCGGAAGTACTACAGGTAATACTCCTAATTTCATACTGACCGAAAATGGCACATTAATTCGAATAGTTACTGGTATAACGACAAAGTTCAACTATGAAAGATACGGTTCATACAGATTCAGAACAGTGAATTCTGTGTGACAACAGTTATCTCCATGTTATAATCAATTGCTGGCAGCTACAAGGCCTGGCGGTACACCTACATGCGAAGGATTTTTCTCTTTTAAAGCAAGGACTTCCTTTAGTTATATTTTGCGTACGCCGTTTCTTTACGTTTATAGCTTGGTAGACGTTGAAAGTATTTAGCTCATTAGGGTAGTTTTATTGAACAAGGGTGTAAAAGATCAGACTAAGTGGTTAGATTCGGTCAAAATCCAAAGTAACAATGACGGTGCTGCCTTTTTTATATTAATAAAAAAGCAGTAAGTACTTGATGCTACTGAATATCTACTGATTACTTATATGGTCTTTCGTTTTATCATAGCGCTGACTGGTTTCTGAACAATTTTATTGTACGAACACTTAATTTTGCTTACAGAAAAACAACTAAAGATAGAAAAACCAGCAATGTACAAGCAGAGTTGGAATATCATAACGGATGAAACTTCTTTGTGACGAATAGATTTTTTTTCCTTCACGTTCCCCAGTAGAACATAGGGTTTCAAGCTAGTTGCTTGAAGTTTCTGTATCAGTGTTTATTTTACAGGATGGGATTGTTAGCCTCATGCCCAACCTTTCCTCTTTACCAGCATTACTTCTGGCTTATCGAGGTAAGGGAGTGCGTCAGCCGGGAATCGAACCCCGGACCATGTGCATGGTCGGCGACCTTCCTAACCGCTATGCCATCGACGCATGACGAGTAAATAGAGTAATATTATAAAGATTTGTCAGATATTCATCGGGATTCACCTGAAATCTACGCGGATTCTATCATGAGTTCAAATCTTCAACCTGTTTTGTGTATTTGTTATTGTTTTCTCAGTAACATCGCCACAAAACTGAAGGAAATTCATGTAGCATATTATTGATGATTCGGATAAAACAGGTGACGCATCGACATGAAGAACAAGTAGTCCTTTTAACTTTTAACATTTTCGATATATGACTTTGCGAGACGAACGAGTTCAGACACATTTAGCTGTAATATAACGAATTCCAAAGTTTAATGCAATTTCCTCGGAAAATAATGATTTTTCATGTATAATTCATAAAACTCCATGGTTATCGCGTTCGATGATAATTTTACACCTTGAGTTAACCTTTTCATACTCTGTGAAGGGAGTCTCCTCTTTAAAAATTTAAAACAATTAGTCTATTTTTCCACCTCTTAATTCCATTAATTTCACATATGTTCCTATGACAGGATCGTGTGCCATCAGATTATTCGAAATGTGTTGCGCAAATAGACTACACGATTCAGACAAATCACGTCTTATTGCTTAGTCTGAATTCATGAAGGGAACTAATTGTTTTAAATTTTAATGCTTTTTTCCCAAACTACTACAGATACGGAGACCTTACAATATTAGACATTTTTTATCTAACCACCTTGACACTGAATACTTTTTTGACAGGGTCTCTGAACAGAAGTGTTATTGTGGTACCCCAGCTTGCTCTGGTGTTATGGGTGCAACCAGCAAACATTTACAAGAAAAAGTCCGTCTGAAAGACACAACTGTAGTAAGTTATAACTTTTTGCAAAGTTCATGGCTATGAAAACCTTTTCTGTATTTATAATATATTTACAAACTTCGTAAGTTTACCCTATATTGTCTGTCTTCTACTACACTTCGCGTTTACGATGTCAGCAGGATAAAATATCCATGAAAGTCATGCTCTGCGAAATGCACCTGAAAAATGTTGAAGCTCATAGGTGACCATTTTCGATGTTTCACCCTTACACTTGATTGTGTGCAGGTCAGAAATCTGCCTTGCCCTCCTCTATGGCTGTGAGACGTCATTGACAAGAAAAGACATTTAAACCCTGACTAGTTGCCTTTGATCATATGTGTCTGTCTTTCATCCGTTGTTAGTTAAATGGTATAATTTGAGCAGTATTAAGGTTAGGCGTCGAGTGCTAGGTAAAGAGGGGAAATCGATAGACGAGACTGTGAAGCCATGTCGACTGAGATGGTTAGGGCATATGTTACGCATGCCTAGTCATCGTCTTCCTCGACAGACAGGCAATGTTAGCTGACGTTGGATCAGGTTGGAAAAGAGCTAGTGGTGGTCAAACCAAGACATGGCCTCATCAGCCAATAAAATCTACAACAATTAGTTTAAGCCTGTCACGTGGGGAGATGTTCTTGTTCTCTGTTCTTTTTGCTTCATATCTCTATCTCTGTTTACTGTCTCTTAATTTTGCATTTCCCTCTACTCTCTCCTCCTGCTTTGTGTGCTAAATGAAGTGTGGTGACTCGGACCCCTGCACATTAGTAGAAATTTCTTCGTTGAAACCATCAGTCAGATTTTTGATATTGTGTTATAGTGTCTTTCACCGCCGAAACAGTATTTTGCTTCTTTTGCCTTCTTTATTTACAAGTGTAGTAATTTGAAGTAACGTGATGAATAATTACAGAACACATTACGCCACGATGTGCCTTATTAGTTTTGTGAAATCTGGTAGTCAGATAAAAGTTTAGAGATCATGAATTTGTTTATAAACTGGATATTAGTGTAAAATTTGGTCGCTGTGGTAGTATGTAATGCCGTATTAGTTTGTCTTTTAAATTAAATTATTATGGACGTCACTTTACTGCCGTCTTAACTTGTGATAATGAGTGGTGTACTCCAGAAGTTTCCATTATCACTGCTCTTGTTCATTTTCAACACAGCAAAAAGAACGCTGTCTTCACCTGACTTCTCATGATTTAGTTCACTGGAGCAAAAGTACCCTCTAGAGTATGCACAGGGTTAGTATGGATGTTGGTCTTAATCGGGGATATTTTGATTATGATGAACAAAGTGGAATATGTTTGGCACACTGTTGACATTTCTCAAAAGTAAAACGATTTTGTAAGACTGAGGTGTACCAAAAGTTTTTGAGTCTGTAGGGTTTTTATTTGTTGATAAGGCAAAGACCTGTTATTATGACTCTTCTGCTTGTTCGTTTGATCCATGCTTTTTAAGCATGGATAACAGTTAGAGTACTCAAGAAAGCCATGGTTGCTGTATCACTAAAATTGTTTTACAGAGGTGTGAATGTGCCTAATTTCCACCGTTGACTTTTTGAGTGTCTCACTGGTCTTCATTTATTCTGTTTTGTTTTATCTGTTATTTCAATTTCATATGTCACATAGTTTCTTGTGATGTTTGCTTTTTGAAAAATATATCAGTGTGTATGCACGTGAGTGAAATAGAAAAGAGGAGCTAAGGAAATATTAAGTATCGTTTCATATCTTGAAGACAGTATTCCTTCCATTAGTGAAATATAAACAGTGTTCTCTCTCTAAATGACATACGATTATGTTCTTAGGAGACGTGTGATCACGATCTTATTCATCTATGGAGAGTTGCATAGTTGGTGAGTGAGATATTTTTCTTTTCTAGTTGCATAGAAATTTAAGTGACAAACATTTGTGTCAATCAAAAGCAGAAATTATCACACCAAATTATATGCCCAGTGAAACGAAGACTATTACATTAAGTCTTATGAATAAACAAGTGAATTGATCCTTACTTTAAGTGCATTGAGAATTGTCAAAATATTGTCAGGTGTATAGTATCGTATTCATTGTGTAAGTTACGTGTTATCGAATGTCATTTTTAAAATTTATTTTCAAGGTTGAAAGACGTATTCTCCAGCTGCTGCAACTAGAATCCTTCAGACACGCAGAAGATATAACTTTACTTCTACAAGTAATGGTTCAGGAATGTCTAACTAGATATACTCGACTACAACTTCTTAGTCGTCTTATCAGCACAGAAGAGGACGCTTGTCTCAAACTCTTTCGCCAATACAATGGTCTTGATATGTTGGCTGCCTTTATGTATGATGCAGAGCCAAAAGACTGGGAACTGAAAAAGCAAGTAGGTGAAAAATTATTTTTTTGAGACTTGAATGAATTTGGGGCACTTTGGTGTTTTACCTCATATTTGTATTATCATCCTAATAAGTGCATAACAATCTTGGTAGTTTGTCTAATGTCACCTACGTAAGAGTTTGCAAGTACAAACCTACATTCTTTCGATATATATATATATATATATATATATATATATATATATATATATATATACTGAAATAAGAATTCTCTTCTGGAATTCTATGTCTTATATAATTGTGGAAGAAATGGTGACATTACTGATACCTAAACCTCTTTTTTAGATACTGCTTTGTTTGAAAAATATTCCCGTTTCTGAGCAAAAGCAAGTGCAGACGAATTCACGCCTTATGGAAATAGTTGAGCAGTGGACTTCTAATCCTCAACATTGTCGACCACGCTGCATTCTCCAGGAATCTTGCAAAAGTGCTGATGCTGATGAAACAGGTAAAGGCTATTCACCAAATAAAATATTTTTATTCAGGTTTTCCTTTAGTTAGATTGTCCACTGACGAAATACATGCTTATCCGAATTTCAACTCTGATGAGACAAAGTCAGGTATGATATACACAGTTATTTGCTTTTGATCTATAAAGTAATGGTTCGAATATATATATATATATATATATATATATATATATATATATATAAATGCAAATGAATGTAGTGATATACTTTTGTTTTCCGGAGATGAGTTTGCATGCTTGATTGTAGTTGGTTGGCGCAAACTTTTAACCTGCTGAGACTTCACTCCTTTACTGCAGTTGCTTTTATTTTCCCAGTTTCTTTCTCCAGTTGTAATTGATCTATAGTTTTCTCTTGATGAGCATTAAAGTATCTCACGATCACTTTTCACCAGTACTCATGCATAAACTAAGCAGAACTCGGGAGGAACAGACGAGGAAAAATTAAGCAGGCGGTTTAATAAGGTAAGTAATGTTGACTTTAGGCGTAGAGTGTTGGGCAAAGAGGGAAAATCAATCGACGAGGCTATAAAGTTACATAGATTGAGATGGCTAGGTCAGGTGGTGCGCATGCCTAACCATCACCTCCCCGACGGGCATTACTAGCTGATATAGGTGCAGGTTGGAAAAGAGCCAGTGGTGGCCAAACAAAGACATGGCCTCATCAATCCATGAAATCCTTGACAGTTAAACTGAGTCAGGTAGGGAGATAATGCAGACTTCCAGGTTGGGGCCCTCGGGACTCTAGGAATCAATGGCTGGAGACAATAGGTGACATGGCTCAAAATCGTTGTCAATGGCTAGCGCAGATGTATTCAGTCTCTGTAATCTTTCAAATTCCTTTCTACCATTACCCATTCTGTTTCACTCTTATACTTGTCAGACTGTATTGATTCTCTTCACTCATCTTCTTGTCTACCTCTTTGTGCTATTTGGAACGTGGCAACTCGAACTGCTGCACTTCAGTGCCAAGTTCTATGTTGAATCCAGACAGACTTTTCACCAACTCCTGATGGATTTGTAGATTTCCGTTGTGGTATATGAATTTTCTAGTCATACACTTTTTTAAGAGCGGTCTCATAAAAAGCGGATAGTATCTGATATCTGTCCCATGTTCATACATATTTTGCATATGTCAAAATCTTGGAAAGTATTGGTTATTAATGGGCAACCTATTTGTTTAATGGTCATCGCACAACTGTCTTAATACCCGCCACAAGGGTGATTATCTCAGATATCCTTTTCAGTGTTTTATCGACTGTCCCCATCAAAATCTCGGAAAAGTCAGATTTACGTGTTTGACTTGTGTAAGGTGCGATCTTTACATAAGGGATACGTATGCTGATGAGGGAGGTATGCAAATCATTTTGTGAGGAAGTGTCTATATATATATATATATATATATATATATATATATAGTCAAGAATGCTGGGGGAGGGGCAGTAATGTTTTAGTTTTGCACCACTAGGTGCTACAAATCTCGCTTATGAATCCAATGTTAAACATTAATCAGACAAAATAGTCTTGTTTGAAGCCAGTGTTGACCAAATATAAGTGGTGGCATGAGTGCATTTACAGAGTTCGATCACCGTTGTTGCTCATAATCATATCAAGTCACTTACACAAATTTTTGCTTCATTTATATACATGAGTATAATTAATTAAACATTTGAGTGAAATCAATGTTAGATAAAGTGCACTCAGAAATAATATTAATGTTATCAATCAAGTACATTCAGATAGGAAATAAGACGAGTTTTTTATAGTCAGAATAAGTAACTTATTAGAATGTGATTTACTCGAATTGGAATAGAATTTCAAGATTATTTATTATCCTCCTCTGATTTGACTTCTATATTTCTGGCATTTGCATTTAGTCATTTCTGTTGCTTGTGTTGGATGTGGACTCAGTGAACCAGGATTCAGTAGTCAATCCATCTCTCTCCACTTACCTATATTATTTTTTGAAATTTTGACCTCCCACCCTATTGTACGGTTGTGTTGATGCATGCAGTGCAGTCGTTGAGTCTTTTTCTAAATTACTTATCTTCTCGGGGTCACTTATTTTGACCATAAAAAACACCAGTCTTATTTCCTATCTGAATGTACTTGATTGATAACATTAATATTATTTCTGAGTGCACTTTATCTTATATTGATTTTACTCAAATATCTAATCAATTTTATGAAAAGCAAAATAATTGAGCGAAGAATAATTTCCTCTTCTGGCTCTACAGTTATGTATGTTCGTATATATGGAATGTTCTAGAGTAGTAGTCGATAAAAATATCGGTGTTTTTTAAATAATATCGATTTGTTAAGTAAGATCAATGGATTTACAGTTCATTAAAGATGCTTAATTTATAATAATTATAAAAATATAATAGCAATTAAAATATCAACTAAAATTAAGAAAATTTTTACAAAAAATTGAGAATCATTTGAACCTAGATGACCCAGGTAAGGACAATGTCTCAACTAGCTTTTTTTGCACACAAATAAAGATTCTTAATGTGGATCCCAAAAGCCTCAGCACTATTTAGCATACGAATCCTTAAGGCGAAGTTTTGTTATGCGGTAAATAACTCTGAAAGCCTCGTTGACATCAATCTTGTGTAATGTATCCACTAGAGGAGATAGAAAAGCGCTGCGAATAAATTTTGTTTGTCCTTAACTTAACTACGCAGGGTGGTGTTCGGAAATCTGACGGGAAACACGCCTAATTGTACGGCCTATGTATATTATCTTACTTGAGAAATCGATTCTATTTAAAAGACACTAATATTGTTATTGACTACTATTCTAGAATATATATGTATATATATGTCAGAATGAGTATTTTCTCAATAATTTTTTACACATGTATATAAATGAAGCAATAATTTGTGCCCAAAACGTCATCAGTTAATATTGTTGTACAGCACTGTGATTTATCAAAATAAAATTTTATCCATAATTGAGTAACCCGTTGGGTGCTTTGTACTTTATCAACTTCATGATGTATTAAGATTCTTCCTTATATGCATGTTACCTACCGTTAGTTTGTTATTTGTGAACATTGAAAAAGGTTTCATTGTGTCAGGCACGACCGAGGGTGGACAGAATTCGGCCCCCTCCCAAAATGTTGTCATGTGTCTACGATTTCATAGCCTCTACGAGGTAACTCCTATTCACTACCTTCACGCGGCTGGGATGTTACTCACAAAAGTGAAACATTGGATGATAGCGTCTGGTGAATACAACCAGACTGGTGGAAATGCAGGTCTATTGGAACAAGCTGAAAAATTTCGATCCCAAACCAGGGGCGTACATAGTCTCTAAGATTGAACAGTGCGTGGACGTGTTTTGGACAACGGCAACCATGGGGGTGCTGTCCCACTGTCTTGTGGATCAAGCTTCGAGCCTGAAGCTATGCGGTGGCCTCTTAAGACTATCTGCTTCGGTCTGCCAATCCCGGCAGTATTCCAACTCTTTTACCTACTGTGAGTAGGTAGGTGTAGACTTCCGGGTTGGGGTCCTCGGGACGGTAAAAACCAATGGTTGGAAACAATTGGTGATATGGCTCAAAATCGTTCACAATAGCGCAGATGCATCCACTCCTTGTGACTTTTGATTTCCAATGAAACTGTTTTGTTCTTCGTTATTACTCTTCCTTTGTCTCACACCTCTGTTTACTGTCTCTATTATGCATTTCTTCTCTTGCCTTGCGTGCTACAAGGAAGAGGTGTGACGACTTGAACTGCCGCACATATGTGCAGAGTTCTATGTCGTAAACAGACAGGCAGAGACAAATTTACTGTGAGATTTCGTGTGGTGCTTTTCTTGGTGCCTATAATGTACTAAGACTGTTTTACTAATGATAAGATTCATATTATCTTTCTTTTCTGCCATGAAATATGCTTCATTTAACTGTAAATTAAGTTGAATACAGGAATAACTTTCCGGCAAAGATAGCAAAATAAGACTCATGAATAATCCAGAAATGTAAATTCAAAAATCTTAGTCTTGCACTCTTTTCACACTTTTAATATCCTAGTATCAACAACCAACATTGAAATGACTATTACTTTTGCCCCAACAATAGTCAGTATACATTTATTTCGAAAATTCAACCATTTTTTTCTGTATACGATGAATAATATGCATGAAGATTTTCTTTGTGAAGTGAATCGTAATCAGCATCTATTCGCCTTCATTATCCTCTTACTTTTATTTTTTTATTTTGAATCATTTCCATTTCAGCCTCAAAAAGTGCAAAGAACAACGAAACATGTTCTGTATATACATACGACAAAAACAGTCTCTGTGAGCCTTCGCCTTCTACTCCTGGTTCTTTTAGTTCCTCTGGGAAAGATAATCCTTGTGTATCACGTACATCAACACTTCCAGTGTACACAGACGAATGTCGCATTTTCGACATTCAAGCTCAAGCTTCCGATTGTGGTTCTATTCCTGATACACTTGCGGACGATACTCTGGAAATTGATTCTATTTCCACCACTGACAATAATGAGTTGGATACCTCTTTTGAATTATGTGAAGGTAAATCGGATAAAGAATGGATAGATGAGATCAAGGCTCTGGCGTGCGAACTCCTTGAAAAATGGTCCCAATTACCTGTACGTTAATAACAATCTTATACTTAGATTTCCCATAAAGTAGCTCCTACATTTTGCATATCACTCTTTTTATGTTTATTCAGGGTTGCCTACTTCTGGGTTTGTATTTACTTGTCAAATTATTTGTTTTATTGTAGAAGGAGAATTACCGGATACCTCGACTAGAGCGCCAGGAAACTGAGAAAATACTGCATATATCACATCCAGTTGGTTCAACTCTCATATCTTGGGGATCTGAATACAAAGGTTAGTAGTCACATAAGTGTAATGTATTGATTAGCTATAAGTATCAAAACTTGGGCACTGTGGTAGAGTATAACTCCACTATGGATAAGATTTTATTTTGACAAATCACACAGTGTTGTACAGTAATATTAACTGATGACGTTTCAAGCATAAACAACTGCTCATAATCATATCAAGTCACTCACACAACCTTTTCCCTGCATTTATATATACATGTGTGGAATCGAGTAGATTCATCGGATTAAAAATCAATATGAGATAATGTACATTCAGAAATAATAATACGAGTGTTATCGATCCATTACAATTAGATGGGAAATAAGACGAGTGTTTTTATAGTCATAATAAGTAACTTGCTAAGATGTTATGATGTGTTTGAATTGAAATAGAATCTTAAGATTATTTATTATCCTCTTCTGATTCGACCAGCGGTAATAATATCTTCCATATTCTGATATTTCTGTTGCATGTGTTGGGTGTAGACTCGATGAACAAGGATTCAGTAATCAATCTGTCTCTCCACCTACCTATATTACTTCTTAGAAATTTGACCCTCTCTCACCCACCCTAATGTGTGGTTGTGTATTAATGCGTGAAGTGGAATTGCTGAGATTTTTTCTTATAACATCGTAACAGACTGTATTGAGATACATGTTTCAGGTTTACCTTTTCGAATAATACTGTACCTGTGTCTGTATTCCTAAATATAAAAGGTAAAACTGGTATCTCCATTATGGATAAGTTACTTATTATGACTATAAGAACACTCGTCTTATTTCCCATCTAATTGTAATGGATCGATAACACTCGTATTATTATTTCTGAATGTACATTATCTCATATTGATTTTTAATCCGATGAATCTACTCGATTCCACACATGTATATATAAATGCAGGGAAAAGGTTGTGTGAGTGACTTGATATGATTATGAGCAGTTGTTTATGCTTGAAACGTCATCAGTTAATATTACTGTACAAAACTGTGTGATTTATCAAAATTAAATCTTCTCCATAATGGACCTTCTCAATTCTTAGGAGTTCTTCCTCCAGTATTTATTTAAAGCATATTCTTCTGGCTCTGTAAAACATAGTTTTGATCATTATTAGAAAACTGTTAGTAAACATAATAAAAGTAAATATATTATGGGTTAAGCTCATTTAGTTACATATCAGACATGAAATAAAGCGTTTCATAATTGATGACATCATTAGGCAAGAGTCGGAACACTTACATTTGATAGAAAGAATAGGGTAAAAAGTGGAGTCCCTAAGGTGGAGAAATTCTGACTACGTTTTCTTCTCAAATTCAGTCAGGCTTTAATCGTTTTATAGCTATTACCCTAACGAATTTCAAGAGGCTTAGCTGGGTTGTTTGTTTATTGTATTGAAGGAATTCAAGACCTCCAGTGTTATTTAGACGTCACGTAGCTTCCCTGTCCAAGGATTTACTTCCTTTAAATCTCAGACTTTACACTGTGTTGAGAAAATCTAAGGTAGTCCCTTGTTCCTGTTCTACTAATATATATACTTCGGCAGCTACAAGTAAATTTCTATGTGCAGCAGCTAACAAAAGTAGTGTATCTGTTGACTTTAGACTGAACTAAGCCACATGCTTCCTGGTACACAGCAGTCAACCTGGCCATAAGGAATGATCTAGCCAGTTATTTCTTAAATCATCGGATCGTCATCCCTGTTATTCACATTCCATTTCTTACGAAAACCAGTTTTTGACAATGGGAATGATTTTGTTAGATTGACCTTTAACCTTTATCTTCAGCCTGTATTGGTTTTTGTCATTTCTGTCCTGTAAATGCTTAATCATTCAGTTGTCAAATTACTAATCACGATTAATCACTCTGTTTTTACTGCTTTTGTTGTAAGGATTTCCTTTGAAATGACATTTCCTTAGGCTTTCTATCTCTCACTGAGATGACGTAATCAAAACTTTCGTCATTCCAATAGCTCAGACATATCATTGGAAATATTTCAGTTAGTCTCTGTTTCGAACCTGTAGTACTGGTGTATAAAAAAGGAAAATCAGAGGCTCTCCATAGGATTCTCAATGAGGCTTGAATTTGGGTGGCATCTAAACCAACCAACTACCTCAGAAATAAACTCTGTCGGCCAAAGGATCGGACAGATCCAATTAGGCAGATCAAAATAATATGATTCACCAAATGCCATGAAATGACTGTGAGGTCAATTACATAGGTCAAACTAGTAGATCGGGGTCAACCAGATTATTGAAATATAGAAATTTAGCTTAACCTAGAATGACTGACCCCACTAAGTTGAATAACCTAGGAAAAAACCTCACCCACTGCATTTCACTCAATTGCATGTAACCAAGTAAATAGGATGGTGGGACAGGGTGAAAGTAATGAAAAGTGACATAGTTAGGTGGAGAGAGAGGTTAGTCACCGAAGCATTGTTTATTGATTCAACATCGCACACATGCAATAGGATTGACACCTACAAGGGAGACAATAAAATGGACAACAGAAAACAAGACGTAGAGATAGAGAAAAAAAGAATATATATATATATATGTATATACAAGATGAATTAGGAAGCCGTATGATTAAACTGATATGACTATAATAATAATAACAATAATAATAATAGAAATCATTTTTACCCAAAACCTCATCCAGTTGTTAATAACACAACGCCATGTGCTGTTGCAAATAAATTTATCTGGTGCAAAGTTTGGTGCGAATTTCGCTTTCAAAATGCAGTCAGGGTGGTACCTACATGAAGAGCTGATGCTGCGTGCGTGTGTCTAAGGCAAAACAACAATATCTTCCACTATCGTTTCGGTGATTAATTACTGGAACAGTAGAAAGAGAAGTATTTTCTTCTAAAGAAAATAAACGCTTGGATAGGAACTGAAGAATAAGTATGTATCATTCCCTTCAGTTCAGTAAAAAAAACTAAGCGAAGAAATTGTATGGAGGATTTCATTATGAACTGACATCAGTTGGAGAACCACTGGAAAACCTGGGAGTACTGGCCAACGGTTTCCTCCTAGTTTAGGAGTCTTCTACTGTACGTACCCACACAAACTAGGACGAAACAGCTGTCCAGTACTCCCAGGTTTTCCAGTGGTTCTCCAACTGATGTCAATTTATGATGAAATCCTCCATACAACCAAACAAAATCCTTACAAAAGTAATACTTGAGCAAAGAATTAGTTCTTCATCATCGGCGTCAAATATTACTTTGTAACACTATAAGACTTTATCAAAACAAATTTTACCCGTGATGGAATTATACTCTGCAACAGTGTACAAGTTTTATTCTTATACCATCTTTTTGTCTACGCATTTCTTTATCGAACAGAGAGTTAACGTTTACTGTACACCTTAGAAGAAGTTTCTATAATGAAGACTCAGGAATACCGGTCCCTATACTTTGCTTTATCAGTACATTACATATGTGATCTCGAGTTCTAAACCGCTGTTCTGCTACTGTGCGAGGAACTATTAAGTAATATTTGAGTTGAAATTATCTTTAAGTATGCAGTATATTAACATCTACAATAATTTGCGCCGTATTTAAACAGGAACCTTGGAATAAAATAAAATGTTTTAATACATGCACATGTTATTAACATTTACTAATTAATTGTTTTTGGTGACTTAAAACCTTCTAATTGCATCCACTCTCCTCCTGTATGTACACCTGATGCACTAATATAACCACTTGATTAGTTTTGACATAAGGAAACTACTGGTACCGAGGCGACGATGAGGAACTAAATGAAACGGATTGTATTTCTTAGCTGAATTTGTTTCTTCTCCATTCAGTAATTGGGATTTATTTGTAGGAATTATATGAGTTTTCAAGCATCGACTATTAGGATTTCGGTAATTTGTTAATCTGGCTTCATTTTGATAAAGTGTTGTGATAATGGAAGAAGTTGTAAGTGTGACAAATTATCTTCCAGTTTAGCTGACTTAGGATTAGGTTTGAACTGAGTTATGTTTTGTCAAACCAGTGTCATCAGTGAGTTGTTTTTTGAACCTTTTTAGTATCCATAGAATTACTGATGAATTTCAACTACCTTTCATTGGGGACTTGCTATCGTGTCGCTGAAGGCTTCATGGCTGATGTGAAATTCTTTTTGTGTCCATGTACTTATTCTCTCCTGTAGATTTCTGACAATCTCACTTTGGTTTTATATTTTTCTCTTTCTAAGTATGGTATATGGAGTGTAGCAGACTAGTCCACTTCTGTTTTTCAATTTACAACGTTGAAAACTCAGTGTGTTCTAATTTCTGACGTTAGCCTGAAATAGTGTTTCTTTGTCACACCTAAGATTTGCTGTTCTAATTACCAAATACGAATCAATAATGAAATGTCTCGAAGTTCATGATGATAAATTATTTCTTTGATTATTTGAAAATAGCCTGACGAATATACTTCTTAGTCGATTCAATGGATGCGGATCACTCCGTTCAAGGCATGCGATTCGCTCCCGCCAAATGCAAGATGATGTTACAGGACTGGACTACATCGACGCCTAGTTTAAAAATAGGGAGTGAAGTGGTAGAGCACGTTGACCGCTTCACTTATTTGGGAAGTACCATCAGCCCCAACGGGCTGATCTCTGACGAAATCTCAGCACGAATACAGGGGGCTCGTTTCGCATTTGCCAGTTTACGCCGACTCTGGCGTAGACGAGATGTTCGACTATCGACCAAAGGGCGGGTGTACTGCTCATCAGTCCGCTCCGTCCTCCTTTATGGTTGTGAGACCTGGTCACTGAGAATGGAAGACATGAAAAGACTAGCTGTCTTTGATCATAGGTGCCTGCGTTCTATTTCCCGTCTGAAGTGGCATAATAAGGTGAGCAACATGGAGGTTAGGCGTAGAGTTCTAGGTAAACAGGGGAAATCAATCGACGAGGCTGTGAAATTACAAAGACTGAGATGGCTAGGACATGTATTGCGTATGCCTAGTCACCGACCTACTCGACAACAGGCAATGTTAGCGGATATAGGGTCAGGCTGGAAAAAAGCTAGCAGCGGTCAAACAAAAACATGGCACCACTCAATGAAATCCACAACAGTTGGTCTAAGTCACGTAGAAAGGTGTAGACTTCCAGGCTGGGGTCCTCGGGACGGTAAAAATCTATGGTTGGAAACAATTGGTGACATAGCTCAAAACCGTTCTCAGTGGCGCAGATGCATCCACTCCCTGTGACTTATGATCTTCAATGAAACTGATTTGTATTTCTTTATTACTCCTTTGTCTCAAACCTCTACTCACTGTTTCTATTATGCTTTTCTTGTACTTTCTTCTCTTGCTTCGCGTGCTACACAGAATGTGGCGACTTGAACTTCCGCACATTTGTGCAAAATTCTATGTCGAAAACAGACAGACAGAAGGCCCGAAATTTACATATTTGCTAATTTTCAATTTGCTTACTTGTATATGACTGTTTTTATCAGTCGCCCTATTGCATTTACTTACGTATCATTTCGACTTGCTGGGAAGTGGTATATTAAAATGAGGAGTACTAAGGTTAGGCGTCGAGTGCTAGGTAAAGAGGGGAAATCGATAGACGAGACTGTGAAGCCATGTCGACTGAGATGGTTAGGGCATATGTTACGCATGCCTAGTCATCGTCTTCCTCGACAGACAGGCAATGTTAGCTGACGTTGGATCAGGTTGGAAAAGAGCTAGTGGTGGTCAAACCAAGACATGGCCTCATCAGCCAATAAAATCTACAACAATTAGTTTAAGCCTGTCACGTGGGGAGATGTTCTTGTTCTCTGTTCTTTTTGCTTCATATCTCTATCTCTGTTTACTGTCTCTTAATTTTGCATTTCCCTCTACTCTCTCCTCCTGCTTTGTGTGCTAAATGAAGTGTGGTGACTCGGACCCTGCACATTAGTAGAAATTTCTTCGTTGAAACCATCAGTCAGATTTTTGATATTGTGTTATAGTGTCTTTCACCGCCGAAACAGTATTTTGCTTCTTTTGCCTTCTTTATTTACAAGTGTAGTAATTTGAAGTAACGTGATGAATAATTACAGAACACATTACGCCACGATGTGCCTTATTAGTTTTGTGAAATCTGGTAGTCAGATAAAAGTTTAGAGATCATGAATTTGTTTATAAACTGGATATTAGTGTAAAATTTGGTCGCTGTGGTAGTATGTAATGCCGTATTAGTTTGTCTTTTAAATTAAATTATTATGGACGTCACTTTACTGCCGTCTTAACTTGTGATAATGAGTGGTGTACTCCAGAAGTTTCCATTATCACTGCTCTTGTTCATTTTCAACACAGCAAAAAGAACGCTGTCTTCACCTGACTTCTCATGATTTAGTTCACTGGAGCAAAAGTACCCTCTAGAGTATGCACAGGGTTAGTATGGATGTTGGTCTTAATCGGGGATATTTTGATTATGATGAACAAAGTGGAATATGTTTGGCACATTGTTGAAGTTTCTCAAATGCACACTGGTGGAAAGTTATGTGTTGAAACCATTCAGTCAATCAGCTGGGACGACTAGAGTGATCACCGTTGGTACTCATGGAGCTTTTCTGGTTGTTTTTTATCTCTTTGTTTTGAAGATAAGCGTAGTAACATAGTGATGTTGGACTGAATGTTAATAGCCTGATATTCGGCTGTTTTATTGTTTTTTTAATAATATTCGATGTGGTTTCAGTGGTCAAGTATTTCGAATAAAGGTGTCGTTTATTAAGTACGTTTTTCCTATTTTGTTTAACAGATGACCAAACCATTCCAAATAAATCGTGGATTCAACATAATACAAATAGATATCAGTCAAATAAAATGTAAGCTGTGTGCTATACTTTCATGGGTGCCATGTCACACCGCATCACTAAATTTCGCTAGTATACGGTTTGTTATTTTAATTTTTGAAAAAAGCAATTAAATTCTTCGTAAATAAATATTGTTTGATTGACAGTATAAGGATTTAGTCAATGGATTTTGTTCTCGTTCTCACCTAATATCACTACACATTGCATCAACACAGATCAACTGAGTGAAATGTAGTGTAAGGAAGCCAATCTCCTAAAAGGCGAAATATCGGAACATTTTACTGATGACTTTTGAAAATTCTGGAAAGGTCCATCACTCAAAGTACGTCGAACTATTATTGAACGCTGACAATGAGAAGCAGAGAAGTGTTCAGGGCGATAAACTTAATAAAAACCTTCAAATAGCGAGATTAGTTGGAATTCTCTTCAAAGGCACTGAGAACTGAATCGGAGACGTCATCGGGCATTTCATTACCACTAATTAGGATACTGTAGACGGATGGAAAGTAACGGCAGTCAACCCGATTACATGTTCATCGACTTTGTAAAGGCCTTCAACAGTGTTGACCACAAAATAATTAGAAAACTGCTTTAAGACTATGGAGTGCAATACCGACAACGTATGAACGGCACTCAACAGCTTTATGCTGTTGAGTAATTCACAACGGAAAGCTCACCTAAGCCGTTGAAATAAAAATGAAAGCGAGGCAAGACTGCTTATTGTGGCTGATGAACTTCCTGATTGCGGTGGGCTGCATCATACAGCAGACTGTTGATCGATGTAAAGACTCTAAAGGATATGGATTTCGCAAATGATGATATATATGTGACGGATCATGAATTCAGAGATTTACAAGTGAAAACTAACAAGTTGGCTGAAAGGGCGGACAGCGAAGATAGGAATTTGATATGATAGAGAATATTTGTAGCTCAGGTGGATGATTTTGATGTGGTTATATTCTTTGAGCTGGATGGTTGATTTGCGAAGCTTTCATCACCCTACTAGGTGACATCTTCAGCGCATACTTAAAGTTGAAGTCATTGTTTACTCATTTTTTTCTTTTTGCATTTTTTCAAGCCTGCGTGAAAATTTGGAGTCATCTGTTGGACACCAAATTGAATTAAATTCTTCAAATAACTTATCACTTCTAACCAAAGCTGAAAGACGTATGCTTTTCGAAGCTCAAGTTACAGCTCGTGAAAAACATAGTGTGTCTGAATATTCTGCACCAACACCAAATGATTACAGTCAGTCAAATCTTTCTGATGACGAAAAAGATATAGATCATCTTCGACAGGTAAATTCATTGCCATTATAATTAATAATAATTAAACATTGTCTTAGTTTCAGTAAACACTTTTTGACCTATTAGATTTCAGGGCTGTCAGAATTTTATTGCAGTATTAGCCGTATTCCCGATATTGTTCGTCAAAGATTGCAATTATCCAATGCCATACACCTACAAACTTCTCAGAAAAAAAGAAGGAAGATCTCATTAGATAACTGCAGACAGTAATGGACAAGAACACAATAGGCCATTTAAATGCTAAACTGGGAGCAGACAATGCAAGGAAGGAATTCATCACGTGGTGCGAGGCTCTCGTTTGAATGAATAATAACGCAGAACACTTTGCAGGTGTCTGCTCCTCCAACGACTTGGTGACTAAAGGTAGCACGAGCATGTACAAGGGTATGCACAAGGCGACAAGGATTTCGCCTGGCGTACTCACCACAAACCAGAAAGACTTGACCTCAATCTCAAAGAAATTCAGACACAGCCTGCAAGAGACAGTATCGAGAAGGGCATCAGATGTGGGCTCGGACCATCATCTAGCTCAAGAGACCCTCAGAGTGAAGTTGAAATCCTTCAGAGCAACTGGAGATAGACCACAGTTCAAGTTCTACACTGGGGGACTGAAAGATGGGACTGCCAAAGACAACTTCACTGCAGCTATCAGAACAAATTCGGAGACACTACGTGGCACCAGTGAGAGAACCTGTGTGGAATAACACTGGAGCTCTCTGAAGTTGATGTTCAAGGGAACGTATGCATCCGTTTTAGGAAGGAAGAGGAGGCTGGACAAGAAGTGGCTCTCAACGGAAACCTCGGGGCTACTAAAGGAGATAAGGATGATTTCAGTGTACATTTCACAGGATGAAGAAGTGAAGGAGAATTCTGGGAAAGACAAAAGACATTGTATGATATAACCACTAGGTGTCTGTCCGGGAAGAGATCAACACAGATGGTGAAACCAATGAAAGATGGTCAAGGGAACCTAATTATCAAAAAGGAGGGCCAAATAAACCAGTGGGTTGATCACTTCAGAGAACTCTTGAATCAACCACCGCCTGCAACTCGTCCAGAAATGCCACCAACAGCACACACAGAACTACCTGCCAGTGGACACCTATACCCCCAACGAAAGAGGAAGTCTTTAGTACAGTCAAGCTACTGAGGTCTAGTAGGGCAGCTGGACCAGACGGAGTTCCTCCTGAAGCACTGAAAACAGACCGAGAGATGATTATGCTGACGCCACCTTTGCGAAAGGTTTTGAGGGAAAGATACCTAGTGGTTTGAAGTTCAACTGTCAAAACGGGCAACTCAGGCCCCTGCAAGAACTGGTGCGAAATCGTGCACCTGTGCTCACCGAGCAGAGTATTAAGTCGCATCATCTTGGGGAGACTGAAGTATGCAGTGGATGCACAACTCCGGTCGGAACAAGCTGGATTCAGTAGGAGCAGATCATGTGCACACCGAATTGCAAGTCTACGCATCATCATCATCGAACGGAACACGGAATGGAAGTCAAAGGTCCAGCTCAACTTCATCGACTTTGAAAAGGCCTTCGATAGCGTTCATCGCAAATTAATTCGAGAACTTCTTCATCGCTATGGAGTACCCGAAATCTTTGTCAATCAGAAGGTTTTGCTTCTCTACTGATAATTATGTATATAAAAATATATGAATATCTCTTGATTTTCTTAATAAACGGTCTGTTTCCTCGCCTTTTTCTCCTTTCTGGACAATGTAATAAAGATCGTCTTTGCACAACCGAATAGTTTGCATCCTTTCCCTCCATGTTATCCTATGAAGAGTGTACTCAAATAACTTGACGTTATTTTTCCCGGGTTTTTTGATTTTCACGCTATATATTAAGTGTTCCTCTGATTGTCTATAATACACGCTGATTCGAATGGAGTTAGATTTCTGTTTTAGTGGAAGAAACTCACACATTAACCTTTTCAGTTGTACAGATATCAATTAAATGCTTCTGACCGTACAAGAAGTCTCTCCTTGAAATTGTATTATTAATTTATAGTCACCGTGAAAAAGTGATATGTGTAATTCTATTTAAATACTAACTGTGAAATTACGGATTAGTGTGTTATTTGTTTGTGTATTTGTACTCAATTTTCGCTGTTACATATCTCCTCACTGTTTTTCTGTACAAAATTTAGCTGTTATTGTCTGCACTTTTGAGTGAATGTGGTTGTAGAAAGACTTCACCGTCGAATCTTCTATGTAATACAACCCAGAAGCTAAAAGGCATGCCTGTTGTCTCAACTTTATTGAAGGCTTTGCCTTCTATGCTGAGTTTATTGTCAACCTCCAAGGATTCCGACTTAGTGAGTTTTTGTGCTTTTTGTTTTCTTAATATTACCCTAATTCAGCCATTGGGAGAGACTTTCCAACATATGAAGATCTTAATGTTTCATTGAAGTAAACTAGCCCTTTGCTCGATAATGCCCCTCTTCATACATATTTCACTAAGATAACTTTGGAAAAGGTGTTCCTTTTTTCCACACCAGTCAAAGTAAAAGTTCATTTTTTAAATGTTGGTTGTTTTTCTACCAGTAAGATTGTGTAATTGGAATTTTACTGAACACTATAACATTGGTAGTAATAAAGCATTTTTAATTAAAAAGGCAAATATTAAAAATAACTGCATTGTTTACGGGCAGTAACGTAAACTGCAAAAGCCTACTTTTAACGTTCAACTTCTGCAGTATTGGCTTATAAATGCTAAAGTTGACATTCATATTTCTTGGTTTCGGACGGAATTTAGTATAAATTCGATTACATAGAGCTTTCACGAGAAAGACTATTAGGACTTTTAAGTTTTTAAAGCATTTGTACATTCGTTACGGTAGTCCAAAAATACTTCGAAATTTTTTTTGAAGTATTCATTCATCAATTAGCCAATTGAGAAGTATGGGCAATAATTTCAAATCCAAGCATACCAAACCAGGATCCTAGGAAAATTAATTTCACTTCTGATAGAAAAAGCTGTCTAAATACCTAAACAGAATGTTGAATGACTGTCAATTGTTGAATTGTATTCCCTTTCCGTAAACCAATCTGTTGATGTGTCCAGCAAATTAACTTTGATTAGTTTATATACTTCGCTGGATTTTTTAAACTTAAAAGAGAAGCTTTTGTACATTTTCTATTGATATTCATTATCTTTATCTTCATCCAGTGTGGTATTTTAACAGGTATTTTGTTGATATAGATTGTCACCTTACTTCCATGAAGCATATATTTTCGTTTCAAAATGGCCCTGCATCTCCACGAGATTTTGGAAAGCCCTCAGCTTTTCATAATAACATTTTTATCTTAACAGTCACGGATTTTGACTCATCTTCCATATTTTAAATGTTACAGTTCGCCTTGACGTAAAAAATTCATATGCACAATATATAGATATGTACTTTTGTAATTGTTTGATTTAAAGTTTACATGTCTGTGTGAAGAACTGGAACGATATTCAGACAATGATTTGCACTCGTTACCCCCTGGATGGAAATCAGCTGCCGATTCGAATGGGCGACTGTATTATTACAATAAGGAAACTAACAGCGTTCAATGGAATAAACCTTTGATAAACGGAAAATCATGTCAAGAGGTAACATATTTTTTGGGGTTTCTTCCTTTTTTGAGTTTATGATAAGATTGTGTAGTATATTTTATGTTCAACTGTTTATGGATCTGTTCTATCTTTTCAGAAAACCCTTCTTAGTGAAGAGGAATATAAACGTTTGAAAAAACAATTTACTAATAAGGTAATTGGCGTAAACACGTGTTGTATTTCTCATGTTTTTACTTTGATTGTGCTCGCCGTATATATTAGCGTTTTGGTTTAATTTATCTACTGCAATAAACTTCGATTGTGTTTCCAATTTGATTTCAACGCTAGAAATTATCGTGGTTCCTCATTTTTATTTAATACTCAGTTCAAAGTTGTACTTTGTGTCTTCTCTACTTTTCCTATCATCGTAACTGTAGCACATCTGACAATACTCCAGGTATTCAAGTATTGGTTTGTAGGGATTTGGTTGATTGGTTACAGGATTTCTTCATGAGCTGACATCAGTTAGAGAACCATTGGAAAACCTGGGGGTACCGGGCAGCTGTTTCGTCCTACTTTGGGACTCTTCAGCAGTTAGTTCTTTTATTTAGTGTAGTTTTTCGTGTCAATATTTCTGTCTGTTTTCGACATAGAACTCTGCACATATGTGCGGCAGTTCAAGTCGTCACACCTCTTCCTTGTAGAACGCAAGGCAAGAGAAGAAATGCATAATAGAGACAGTAAACAGAGGTGTGAGACAAAGGAAGAGTAATAACGAAGAACAAAACAGTTTCATTGGAAATCAAAAGTCACAAGGAGTGGATGCATCTGCGCCATTGTGAACGATTTTGAGCCATATCACCAATTGTTTCCAACCATTGGTTTTTACCGTCCCGAGGACCCCAACCCGGAAGTCTACACCTTCCTACGTGACTGGCTTAAACTAACTGTTGTAGATTTCATTGAGTGGTGCCATGTTTTGGTTTGACCGCTGCTAGCTCTTTTCCAGCCTGACCCTATGTCAGCTAACATTGCCTGTTGTCGAGTAAGTCGGTGACTAGGCATACGCAATACATGTCCTAGCCATCTCAGTCTTTGTAATTTCACAGCCTCGTCGATTGATTTCCCCTGTTTACCTAGAACTCGACGCCTAACCTCAATATTTCACATGTTGAAAGTTTTCTTTTTTTATCAGTTGAATAACAGTCGGTTTTCGAATTTTGGAAAGCAACTGATTTAACATCTGATAGTCATAATTACCTGGTCAATAAAATTTCTCTACGCCTTGGAAGCTGTGTGTTCTCTCCCATTCTTTATTCCACTGATATGTATGCGTATCGAAGTTAACAACAGTCTAAGCTTTTAAAATCGGTTGCCGCCTTCTCAGTAGCCTTGATCTGCGATGAATGAAATTATTATTCCGTCTGTTCAGTGACTCGCCTTAAACTTTGAATAATTTTAAGTGGCTTTCGTGTTTCCTCGCATAGACTCTAGGTGTTTGTTCAGGTAACTGAAAGATATCACTCTTCACTATGGGACCCTCTGAATTCCAATTTCATTTTCAGAGATGAACTTCAGATGCTCACATCCCACTTGTTTAGTGCGAAGTGAATCTGAAGACATTTAATTCAATCTGATGAATCAGTGCTTGTGAAAGGCGTTAGTTTTTAGTTGTAACACTTGCAAATTGCACCTCACGCTCTCATTTTACGAATATTTTTAAATTGTGTTTAGGTAGGAAATTACATTATGCGACTTCTGAAGCCTTATCGACTACCCAATTGTTTAACTGGTCGCATAGATTCAAAAGAAGATTTTCTTCACGTAACGAAGAAGGTGAGTTGAACTTTATAACACTAAAGCTGCATCGTGTTCAAAGTTATGAGCAACATTAACTCCTATTTATTTAATTTTTAAAACATAAACGTGATAAATTAAATGCACCAAGAAGTTCGCCGCACAAAATCTCAAAGTTAGTCTTGAGAACTGAGATGTGCTATATATATATATATATGACACTTGATAAATCCATTGTTGTATTCGTCATTGGTGACACATCACATAGACGTATTGGTTTGTTTCGAATACTTTATAGTCATGTAATTTGATGATAGACATTTATGCAGTGCTTCATTTCAAGTTATCCAGCAGTGGCACGTGCCGTTAACTGTCGAAAACATGCTATTAAATTTCTCACGCGAAGCTGATTTCCACATTACCGAAATTAATATGCAGTTATCTTGCCTCATTATATATTGTATTCACTAAGATGTTTCACTTTTTCTCCCCGCAGTTGACCTATTGCTTTGTTTCAAAGGAGTTAAAACGTTCAAACATCGGATGTCCTCCAATGTTCTCTCTACCCCTTCAGCAACATATACGTTCGACTGTTACGCGATACATGACTTCGCGTGGACCTGTGTACAAACGTAAAGTCAAAATCAGTGATGAAAGTTGATATGAAAACATACTTGTGTCTTATCTCTGTATATATTCAGATTTCTTGGATGTATCTCATCGTATACCTAGGTATTTATTATCAACTTGATTTGTTCATCTTTATCTTCCAGTCAAGTAGGAGTTTTAAATTATATTTTCTTAAATGCAAAATCCCGTGTTGTAAATATATATAAAATAGTACTATTCGATTTAAACTTCCTCGGCAGCAACTTGCTACATGAAATGGTAACTATTCACTATTTCTTTTGAATTCCTACCTCAGGTATACTGTGAAGTGGTTTTCCTTTAGCTATCTTATAATTGTCCTACTTCCCTTTATCATATATTTATGTATCCTTATTTGTGAACGCTGAAATGGCTGTGTTACTTTTTTTGACGCTTATAGTAATAATATTAACCTGGTTAGGTTATCTTTTTTTTTCTTATGTAATAATGTTATTTTAACCTTTATCATATGTTTCCTTGATTTTATTCACCAATTTCGAAAGGTTTCATTTCTTTAGGCAGCTTTTACTAGTTATTTAGCTTCTTTAAACCTAATAACTAAATGTAATATATGAATCAAAATTTGAAATAAAATAGTTCTCCATGTGTTTGTGCTAATTTTAGTCTCTGTTTACTGTAACTCTCTCCATTTCCGTAGTCCTCAGTGAGGAGAGATCGTAATAATGATAACCTTCTTGATCTGAGTTAAATATCCTATATTTTAGATAATTCAACCAATATTTTCTTACTCTTCTGTTACAAGTTATTCAGGGCGACAAAATAAGAGTCACTTATCATTTGCATTTCTTCTTTCCACTTGAGAGATGCATTTTACCACTGCCCACTTCATCAATCTTGTCTTCTTACTATTGTTCAGTTCCAATTTATACTGCTCGTCAGGTGACTTTGTTGTTCAATTTCGCAGTCTTAGTGATTAACACTAAATGGCTTCTCAGTTAGACAGAATTGATTTCAGTTTATTCCGTTTAATTCTCTAATCACTTATGAAAATAGATTTTTATACTTCACCGAATGTATGATACTATTCGTCTGTGGTCTGAAAATGCAGTGATTGGCATTAGAGTGCTTTGGCACGAAGCCAAAACTTCACTATATGAGGGATAAGAAAGTCGTTCCTACATTCCTGTGCATAGCGTATTTTCGCTTGAATTTTGATCGTTGTCTAGATACAAATATCTTTTAATCCCCGGCAATATGAAGCAGTTTTGGAGCTTTATCACGACTTGATAACTTTCAGCGCATAGCTAATACCTGTTGTCGTCAACTTACGTTCCTTTGTATAAATCCCGTTATGTAGGTTGGTAATTGTGTGCAACAGACTTGGGAATTTCGGAAAAAAATATAAGTTTTGCACAAAATGTCATATAAAACCAAATTAAGATCTTAGTTTATGCAGTCATTCGGCCATCTGATGTTCAATTTTCAGTAATCAGCACCTGTTTTTCATGTAAATGGCGAAAGGCACTTTTATTATGCATTCTAATTAGATAGCAGTGTTAATCTCCTTCGTGCTCTAATTTTCCAGAAAATAGTTAATCGACTAATACATTCGATTTTGATATCCTATTTTCTGGTAATTTTGGAATTCCCCCATACTCCCCTTTCAAGTCAATAAAATGATGTTGTTAAAAAATTGATGCATTAGTAACAAAGAATTGGTGTAGATCATACACTTCACAGCGTTGTTTTAAGAAGTGGTTAAGCTGACAGACTTAAATAACGTCATCTTTTTTCCAGCAAAGTTTGAAAAAGACGAAATTGCAAAAGGCTAAGTGGTGGCTGACGATACTTTATGCAACATTACGTTACGCCCATTATTTGTGATAGTTAAACTGACTTGGCCGTCTTCCACCGATTGGATAATACTTCTATCTTGCCAACTATTACTGTTACGTGGCTGTTGCATACCTTTATGTTAATGACGATTATGTAGATCTGACTTTTTTAATGTTCTTACATACCTGTATGTGTGACTCACTACACATTTCGTTTTACACGTTAATACCGTTCAAAGTGGTTAAAGTTATAAACCAAATGACTTAAATTTTAGCTACAGTAAAATCTGTAGGAAAGTCGTAAGTATTGACTGTGAAAAATAAGACATATGTAGGCGGTTAAATGATAACGTCACACATGCTGTATCTCTTAGCTATGGAAGAAGTAAATTCGGCATATATATACTCGAACATTGTCAGTCAAGAGGGATGTTATTCACCAGCGTAAGCTCTCCATTTCTAATCACGGATTCGGGCCTAACCCCATCTACCAAGGTTTGGGCAATCATGTAGCATTATTAGCCTTCACAACTCGGATGTTTATGTGGTTGTTAAGTGATACATCCTATTCCGGTGTCTTATAATACATGAAGTAAATCTTCAGAACTATCAGCGATGATTCATCGGAAAAGTATGATCAGACGTTAATATTATCATTAGTAAAGATGGATAATTTCTGTCCTCAGTCTACTTCTAAAGATCCAGTGTAACAGCATAAGGCAAGACTCCGAAGCCAAGGTATATATATATATATATATATATATATATATATAGCTTATATTCTTCAACCAGCAACTGAGCGTGTGATTTTTGTTTACATTAAACGACATGAAATAGATTGTTCAAATATATACATAGTATTCTGTTGTCAATGTAGTATTGAACTGTGGGAATAGTATTCTGACGTTAACACCATATGTACAATGACTCTAACTGTGAGAATAATATTCCGTTTGAACTTATTGTCTGCACCACACCAGCTTTGTAAGATAAAACCATGTAATATGCCTGACTTAATTCAAATATTTCTAGACTTCATTCTACTTTCTAAGATATCTCTTAAAAATTCCATGAAAAATGAAGAATTCCGCAGACCTTAAGCATGACGACGATGTAATAGGAAACATAATTCCAAGTCTAGGTTGTTGCTAACTCACATCACCAACGAAATAAATTAAAGCAGAGTAAGACTGAAAACACGTACCAGTTTTGGATATAATAAACCCAGTTCAAAAATTGCTTATGGTTAAGCAGAAAAACAATAAATAATGTTGAAATTCTCGTAGTATGCCGATATTTTTGACATATTGACTCAATCATTACTGGTAAATGAAAGTAGTTGATTAGGTAAACATTAAGAAGTTATTCTAGTTTATTCAAAACAGTAACAACTGGTCGACGGATGAAGTAGTTGGTGAGCAAATAATCTCAAATTTATTGCATCATATTTCCAATTGACAAAGATGTTTTGAGGGGGTGGTGTGCCACTCATAGATTATATTTAGTTTGAAACCGACTATATTACTCTAGAGAACTTATCGTCGATTGTTTTACATGTTAAATTAATAATCAATTTGAACAAAGCATGAACTACAGTTTTAGCAGAATAAAATGGTACCATCATTGTTTATTTCGTTGCCTTCTCGTCAGCTGCTTACATGGCAAAGACATTATTAAATATATCTACACCAACAATTTTAACATACTTGCACAGAGTTAAGTTTAAACAAAAATCAATCGATCAATATACTCATACACTAAAAATATATACATATATAAATATGCAATATTAAACACTATTCCGAACAATAATAATCAAACACAATGGAAACTTTTAGCATTTTACATTCGGAGGAAAGAGAGGTGAAATTATCCAGTTACCAGTCAGGGCAAAGAAAGACTGATAACCGCTTCTTTCTGGACGCATAAATCAGGTTTCAGGCGCTTGGTGGAAATGGCTTCAGCAAACTTAAGGAGAATTGAGCTATTTTGCTTATTGATAATTTTGAACGACTTTTCAACGTCCACCTCATGACCCGTGTCGAGAAGATGCCTGGTGATGGCACTGTTTAAAGCATTTGTTCCCTTTAGACGTAAGCTTTTTGGTACATGTTCAGAAAATCGTAGATATGCCCTTCTTTCTGTCCTTCCAATGTCTGCGGAATTCCATTTCATTTTTTCGTGGAATATTTAAGAGATTTCTTACTGTAGTTTCGCTTCGAATATGTATGTTTAACTGACTTTCATCCTCAACGCGCTAAAAGTCCTAATTTATAAATTTCGTTGTTTCATAAAATTTTATTCATTGTTTACATTATTTTGGATTTGTCTGACGGAAAAGCTAGATAATGAAAGCTCTATAATAAACAACTAAGACGACTGATTTTGGTATATGAAATTAACCTTTTTCGACGATAATGAAAATTACTCTTTAGGAAAAACATGCGGTGTATCTCAATATAAGACAGACGGAACCAGTCAATAAGCATATATATATATATATCCCATATTCGCTTGTACTCTATCAAGACAACGGATAGTTTTAATCACGTAAAATGAGTTAAGTTCATCCCACACTGTACGTTATTCTTGCTTTAATAATATTTATGAAGGGAAACAAATGGAGGAAATATTCTGATTATCAGAATCTTATAATACCTTCATCTCTTTGTCTTCTTTCTTAAACATATTCCCGTTTATGTATTTGAAAACATCAAAAACAACGGTTTGTGCGGAATAAAATAGAACCATCGTTTTTCGTCAGCTGCACTCAGCCTGAAATTTTTTAAAAAGGGTTTACAGGGCAATTGTCGATGGTACTTGTGAATGTGCCATAATGTCAGTTAGCAGGAGAATCCAAGAATAATAAACAGTGATACTTACTGTATTCTATATCAGATAACTTTATTCGAGTCATACAAAAAAAAAGGTATTCAGCCTAGTGTTACTCTTTTTCAGCGGTAGCATTCTGAAGCTGTCGGATCGCATACATGTATAAAGTAAATTTCCCCTTAGTAACAAAAGAAATGTCTCCACATATGTGTCATTATAATTGTAGGTTTTCAGTGACAGTTACGTAATACATAAAGCGTCTGTCGGATAGAACATAAAATATAATAAAGTGAATTGCATGACGTAATGTAAATGACGGGAGTGATTAGAACTCAGAGCTAAAATTCAGAAAGATGCAAGTTAAGATAACTGTCATAAGGAGTGG